CAGAAAACACGCACAACACAGAACACACAAACACACACACACACAACACTCACAATCCCGGGGCCTCCTGGAACCTCTTCCGGTATCCAAGTCGGGCCTCCTGAGGTTTCCTGGGGGGCCCTGGTACACACATCGCAAGGTGTGGCAACCCCACTTGCGCTCGAGTGCGACCTCGATCTTAGATTTTTCTGCGTTCACCTCCTGCCTCTTCCACTTCTCTTAGGCACGCCTTGGCGGCGCCGCCCCAGCTTCCCCTTCTCCATCTCCGATCCTGCACTCATGGTGTCTTCCTGCTTCAAACGCCCTTTCAGTTTTTGTTGTATGAGCCTGGACACACACGTGCCACTTGTATCTATATGTGTATGTCTGTTTATATTTGTATACATAACGCATGTATAGGACGAGAGAGAACAACAAACAAAAACCTCCCAGGTGGGGTCTGAGTATACGGGGTCGGAGTATCGCGCCGCATCGCCGACACATCGCTGACGCATCGGATCGAGCCGCACCACTGATGCATCGCGATGCAGCGCGATCCTCCGACCCATCTACTCGAACCCCAACTGGGTGGCCTGGACTCCCACCAGCCCTTTGGGCCAGAGTGGTCTAACGAGATCCTGTCGTTCCGACTCCAAAGACCCGCGTCCCCTGATGTTTTGGGGCGGGCCGCGCTCGGCCAGGGCGCCCAAGATGGCACAAGGTGGCTCCAAGAGGGCATCCGATGCTCAAAGATGACCTCCAAACACGGCTCACGATAACCGAAGATGGTTCAACATAATTTCCGACATGCATCCGAAAGGCCCGACGAGGGCCGCAAGACTGCTCCAAGTGCTCTCGGAGCCCCATCACCCCCCCACCCAAGAGGCTACAATCCGTCAAACACCCTACGAAAATCAATGGTATACGCCTTCTCGCCCTTTCGCTTCCGATGCGCTTTTGAGGCCTGAAGATAGCCCAAAGATGGCCCAAGAGAGCCCCAAGGTGGACCCAAGAGGCCCCAAAGACGGCCCCAAGAGCGCCCAAGAGCGGCCCAACAGTGCTCAATGAGGGCCCCAAGATGCGATTTTGATGGCCCCAGGGAGGGGAGGCAAATCGAGGACCCCCCCTTCCTTTGACCGACAGCCCCCAAGATGGCATCATCAAGAGGCCATCCAGGGCTCCTAAGAGGTCCAAAAGATAGCCCCAAGAGGGCCCCAAGACTTCCCGAAAGAGCCCCAAGAGGACCCTAAGATTTTCCGAAAGAGCCACAAGAGGGCTCCACGAGACGTTTTTGAGGGCTCTGTCCTAGCCCCTGTTGTCCTCCTCCTCCACGTCCTCCACTGCCTCCTCCTCCTCACCATCATCATCATCCTTCCTCCTCTTTCTCCTCTTCCTCGTCCTCGTCCTCGTCCGTGCCCTCATTGTCTTCTTCCGTTTCCTCCTCTTCCTCGTCGTCGTGGTCGTCGTCGTCGTCATCCTCCTCCTCCTCCTCCTCCTCCTCTTCCTCCTCCTCCTCCTCCTCCTCATCATCATCATCCCCATCCACCTTATCATTATCCTCGCACGTGGCTCGCCTCCTCCTCCTCCTCCCTTCGCCCTACGCGGGAGCCAGGGGTGGCCCGAAGAGGCCCTCCAAAGCCACTCCCGTGCTCCAAAAATCTCTATGTTCACCATAGGCGGCCGATCCCGGAAACCCTGGACCCACACATGTTGCCATGCTCCCGCCGAGCTTCCGCCGGCTTCTGTCAGCGGAGCCGCCGCCCTTTTACTTCCGCCGCCTTCCGCCGACCTCCCGCCGCGGAAGAGATGGCAACTCCTCCGCTCCGCGGAGGCAGGGCCCTTGTTGGCACGCCCGATGTTCCTCTGCGTCCCTGGGCCCGCCAGCTCTTCTGGGCAGGGCTTCTGCACGGGCCGCTGGGGTCACGCCCGGCACTGGCACATGCAGCTTGGCAGGTTCACAGTAGGAAGACTGCCTCTTGCCGGGGAGACGTAAGACTCGGGTACGGGGGACTCGGGTTGGCCGGACGGGGCCATCATAAACATGACGAGACCCAATCTGAAATTTGACGCGAACTCCCACTGCAAACAAGTACCGTCAAAATCGAGGACGCGCTCGTCAAAAAACGTCGGCAAACCCGAATTCCGGCTTACTCGAGTCTTACGTTTCCCCGACCTTGTAATACCATGTTCATACTACGACTACTACCACCATCAGTGCTAGCGCTGCTGCCGCCGCCAACGTACCACACCAAGCAGAACGCCGCTGCGCACACAGGCATACCCTCTGCGGGTCGACTGGCGTCGCTGCGCGCATGCCCGCTGCGCTGCTGCGACCAACTAGTACGGCCCTGAGACCAGTCAAAAATTCACCAGTCAAGTCTGTGCCCCGATCCCGTGCCCCATATCGGCCCTTGGCCGGGACCCACGGGCAGCGCTCCGAGGCCACAAGAAGGGGGCGCGCCAGACGCCGCGCGGGAAGGCCGCCGCCCCACGGCGGGCCTGTCGGAGTCCAGCTCGGCCGAGAGGTGGTGCCGCGCGGTCTTCCCAGGGATCAGCTTCTGGGACTGGCCCCCTGCAGGCGGCGTCTCCGACCCAGACCTCCTCGCGCTGTGAAGAAATCACGACGGGAGGTTTTTCCCCAGTTTCGGTCTCCGGGGGCCCTCGCCGGGCCCTGGGAGCGTCAAACAATGACTCAAGACGACAAACCGAACCCCGGGAGGAGGTCCAGCCAGACCTCTGGGGGTCGACGTTGCGAACAAAAAAGCGACGTCGGAGGTCGAGGACGGCCCCAGGGCCCGGCATCAGGGCCCAGGGCCATCAGCACTGGAGCCAGGGCGAAGAACTGGGACTGGGGAAGGGGTCGGGACCTCTGGGGCCGCGCATTGAAAAAAACACATCGTCGGGTATCTGGGGATGGGGTGGCGGCGGACGTCAACCGATTGGCTGATCGAATGGTCAATCGATTGCTAGACTGACGAATTGATCACTCGATTATTCGGTTGACTGGTAACTTACTTGGGGGATAAGGCAAGTACGGGGCGTGAGATGCTCTCCGCTCGGCCGACGGCCAAGGAGGATGATGCTGCTTCGGCCCACTCGTCATGACCGTCACCAGACATTGAATCTGCATGGACGCGGGAGAATACACAATACACACCTAAACCAATACCGAGCAGGCCACATATGCAAGACACTCACGACTCTCTCCTTGCTGGTTGATGCCCAGCATTTGCGAGGCGAGCAGCAGGCTTCCCACACGTACAGTGTGAGCGCAGCCGCAAGAAACCCTCGCAAGAAACCCAACCCTGATAACCCGTGCGCAAGGCGCACCTGACGGGAGACCCGGAGCACCCTGAACGCAGCAGCTCCTTCCCCGGCTGCGGGAAGTCACCGCGCAGCGCGCGCATAGAAGAAACCCAGGATACCCTGACGAAAAGCATACATGGTTTCTGAATACGCGCCCCCACTGCAGAATTGCGACTGCAACAACTCGCGCCAGCACCAGCGTACGATGGCACTCTTGCGGCATCAGGCCCTGCACAGCTCTGCACTGGGGCAGCGATGGGGTCCCACGGTCTGGGCGAGGGCGGTGGGTCACGACGCGCCGCGATGAAGGGGGCCACGATTGGAGGCAGGGATCGACCTGAACAGTGTGCTTTCGCTTTCGCCTTCGTTTTCGCGGTTCCTCGATTTGGTTCCAGTCCGCCCTTGCTGCAAAACGAAGTCGAAACGACAACGACCCACGAAATCGACAGGACACCGTCTGGGTCGACCCCCGATTAAGGGGCCACGATGTGAGGCCATGATTGGGGGCCACGGTGGGGGTCACGATGGGGGGGCACCAGTGGGCCAGCTGATCCGGGGAGCCAGTCTCCATCACCGGGCGCTTTGTCATTTTATTCAGATGTATCTGAGGTTGGGGGGGTGAGATCGCAGTGGAACGGAGACCCCCTTTCGTTTCGTTCGTGTCGCGCGTGCGGGCGAGGCGAAGCTGCGTGGGCGCGCGAAGAGGAATGAACGCGCCGTTGCTAGGGCGAAGTCAAAACAAATGATTCTCCCCCTCCCTCCCGCCCGTCCGGCGGTGGCTCGCGGTGTCCCGCGGTGTCGCGTGGTGTCCCGTGGTGTCCGCCGTTGCTAGGGCGAAGTCAAGACAAATGGTTCTCCCCAGCCCGCCCGTCCGTCCGTCCGTCCGGCGGTGGCTCGCGGTGTCCCACAGTGTCCCGTGGTGTATCGTGGTGTCCCGTTGAGTGAGATCGATAGTGAGATATCGACAGTGAGATCGATACTGAGATCGATGTGGTGCCCCGAGGTGTCCCAAAAAGTGAGATCGATTGTGAGATCGATAATGAGATCGACAGGCGTCCCGCGGTGTCCTCTGGGTTCCCGTTGAGTGAGATCGATAGTGAGATATCGGCAGTGAGATCGATACCGAGATCGATGTGGTGCCCCGAGGTGTCCCGTGGTGTCCCAAAAAGTGAGATCGATTGTGAGATCGATCGTGAGATCGACAGGCATCCCGTGGTGTCCTATGGTGTCCCGTTGAGTGAGATCGATAAAAAGATCGATAGTGAGATCGATACTGAGATCGATGTGGTGTCCCGCGGTGTCCCGTGGTGTCCCGTTGAGTGAGACCGATCGTGAGATTGTTAGTGAGACCGATCGTGAGATCGAGAGGTGTCCCGCGGTGTCCCGTGGTGTCCCGTTGAGTGAGATCGATAGTGAGATCGATAGTGAGACCGAGTGTCCCGTGGTGTTCCGTTGAGTGAGATCGATAGTGAGATCGATTGAGTCAGATGTTGGCTCCCCCCCTCTCCCTCCCCAGAACCTCCTGATCACCCGAGGGGTGGTCGTATAGGTAGGTATAGGTGTATATATGTGTATATATATACGCCTCTACAGACAAGCTGCTTCGGGGGTATCGCCAACAGCCCATGGCAATCAAGACGCCTGAAAACTTGTTGCCATCCTCCATCGGACTCAGGGGAGGCAAAACATTGCAATGCAAGTTGTCCATCCTGCTGCGGCGCGTCTGGTGCCATACACGGAAAGTCCCGTCGCGGGGCGCGCGGCCCTGCTTTCGCCGAGGCTGGGCGCGGCTCTACGAGCGACAGGTCTGCGTAATCATGCTCGCCTCTCGGTGCCCACAAGAGGCTGCAATCGCGAGCTGCTGCCTCGTCGACGTCCCCACCATCACTCGGCAATAAAAAACATTGGCCGGCGGGGCGCTGGCCTCGTCCTGCGTCAAAAACTGGCAGCGACTGGTGGCTCCACCGGTTGCTTCGATAGGGGCCGCCCAGATGGGTTCGAAGACGCCGACGTGAAGCAAATAGTGCTCCACATCGAGCCGCATCGCCAATGCATCGGCGATGCCCGCGGTCCTCCGACCCCACCTACTCCGACTCCATCTGGGAGCCCTATAGAGTGGTTCTACCGATGGATTCGAGGGCGTCACAACGTCACGGTCCGGGGGCCCGCTGGGCGTCACAGCGTCACGGCCCCAGGGCCAGCGCGGCGTGACGGCGTCACGATCAGGGGGCCGTGAGGGGGGCAAGCGGTTTTGCACGGTCCCTGGGTGCATGGCTCGGGAAGCTCCGCGGAGCGGAGTGTTGAACTCTCACGTCTGCAAAGTTATTGTTCGTAATATGTACACAGATAGACACACACGATTACACACATGCGCAAATATGTTCATTCATGCATTCATTCGTACTGCATTAGTACCGAATTGTTAAGAACAAACCCCTACTGGTACCGCGGAGCCTGATGAGATAAAACATTATTCTCACCTGGGTTTCTTCTCCTTCAGGGAGCACAAGGCCTGGCAACCTCGTGCCTAGCCCGACCGTGGGCAGACGGAGATCACCTGGCGCGGGGGCGCTAAGCCTCTGAGGGCTTGCGACCCCACAACTCATTCGTGTTCACTGACCTCTCAGTGACGTTTCAAACCAAGTCTGCGCAGCAACTCACTAAACGAATTCTGGGAAGTCTGAGTCTCCCTACGAGAAATGCTCCCTGACGTGTCAGCTGACACCTCGTTCGTTCGGGCTGCGTCCATCCGTGGCTGGGTAGACGAGGGAAATCCAGACGAGCCACTGCCCCGAGACTCGGGGCCCGAGGGTTCTTGGTCGTCAGCTGCACAAGGGGGACACTCCCCGATGCCAATCCCTCCTGGGCCCCCATCTGCCTCACGAGGCCTACTCAGAACAGTTTGGGATCCACTCTCCCCTAAGCGAGGGAGCGGCGGAGCTAGCTGCCTTGCTAGCGAATTAGGCTGAGATAGCTGCTCAGGAGAAGCCCCATTCACTGGTAGTCTATCTGCAGCGTGCACAGGAGCTGAAATAAGATAACTCCCATCCATGGCTATATCGCTATCAACTGGCACTGACAATCCCATCCCATCAGCTGCAATAGGTATGTCCGAAAAAAGCTCACCCACATCACATGTCTGCTCAGCTACTGGTCTTGATGATGCTGCTGAGAGCAGCAGCGCCATGCTTACTGTCTGCGCATCTGATAAGCCAATCCCCCCACCGGAGCTTTCCCCGGCAATCTCGTGGCCCCCACGTGACGAAGTGCCTGCGTGAGCAGCCGGTCGACCTGAATCCAGGCCTTGTTTGTGGCCGTGTCGATATCCATGGGATGATACTATACGCTTTGAATCTCGAGGTCTTCCTCTGGCGTCTTGGCGAGCGGCCAGTGACCTGATGCGCTGAAGACGATGCAATGCAACGGCTGCTGGCTGGCCTTCTTGAAGTACTCGCTTGCCCTGCAGCTGTGAACCCACTCCTCCAGGTCGTCTGGCTTGCCTCCTTCCGCGAACTCCTTGAGCCTGACGGCTGCTCTGAATATCATATGCACCTCGTTGTCTTTTCCTGTTGTGTCTGTCATTGTCAGTGCGTCCAGCATCGCGATGAAAGCGTGCAAGTGTGGCGACCCGAATGTGCGTTGCGCTCCCGCTGCTTTCACCGAACTGTCGTATCGCTGCCCTGCGCTGCTCATCGCCATGATGACAGGGTGGCCCCACGGGCACTTGAAGTGCGAGCCCCCTGCCTCCTGCTCCCTCATCCTCGCCTCCAGCTGAATGGTGAGTTTGTGAGACGCGTCCTTCTGGTCCGCCACCTTGCGCCTCTGGGGTGGTGGCGGTTCCTCCTGTGCTCCACTCGCTGCGGCCCCCGTGCCAGTGGCTCCACCACTCCCAGCTGTTGGCAACCACTGAGACATTTAAGGAAAAGGAATGATCGTAGCGGAGAATCTGTCTAAGATGTTCAGCAAGCAAGTGTGAATCAAGTAAATCAGGATTGTCTGCAATATGACTGCACAAAGAGCATGAAACTTGCATGTGTGCCACGCGCGCATGAGACCTGGGGCTTCCATCTACGTAGCACCTGTTCTTCGTGAGGGCATTAAGCGCGTGGTGCTGAGCTGCCTCGCGGTCGGCAAACGTGCTGGGACATACTATGCAATAATTGGATAAAGTGACAGCGCACGGTGTACTCTTGGCTCCGTGATTTTCGGCCTGGGACCGTGCGTAATGCGTTATCATGGCCTGGCGAGATTTAAAACGTAAGTCACGCGCCACACATTGAAAACAGGCCCTCCCCCTCCTCAGAGTTGGCACCGCTAGCCTCTTCCCTGGGCGGCTCACCACCAAGACCAGGCGGAGGGGGGACCTCTAGAGTTATCTCTCGCGCCCTCAAAACGTGCGGATCAAGCGCGATAAAATAGTCACTCCAAGGTTCTTCAAAAAGTCCGCAGAAAGACCCCTCCAAGGACTCAAGAAAAGAAGCCCCCTCATCACAACACTCGAGATCCTTCGCATCTTCCCAAAACTACTGCAGCCTCGGGTTTGCCTGAGCCGTCACCCGACCCTCATGGATGTCAACATTTTCACATTCACACCTGGCCCGTCCAATCAACGCGCCGATCACCCGTGCGCGCTCACGTGGTCGCCGAACAAGGGATTGCGACCACTTCAACCGCCTCATGCGCAACTCACAGAAGAGCATGCCAATGCCGAGTTTCCGAAGTGCCTCGAGGTTGCTGGTCGTTTTGTATTTGCCGTCCGTCTTGCTCGTGCACTTGCCTTTAAGTCAAACTCTGCCAAATCTAAAGATCTTGCTTTGCATTGGATTGAGACACTTGCTGGTAATAGGCGTTCCCATGTTCAATACATACGCTTCTAGTCCACTAAGTCCCGCATTCACCACCTGCCCGTTAAATTCTATGGCCCTGAATATTAAAGGGGTTCTCGATGTCCAGAATCTGCACATTTTTCCCCGGCTTTTGTTATTGCTTGTAATCGAGCTACCTTCTCTTGATGAAACCCATTGTTATAATGATGCATCCCACCTAAATAGTTCGCTGAGTTCTCCACCACTCCCTCCAAAAGCTGAGGATGCTCATGAAAGGCTTGATTGGTGAGCTTGGCATTGCGCTTGGCTCCTTGAACTAGAATGACCTGCTTTTCTGTATTTTGCTGCGCTCCTCCAACCTCCTCTAGTCCCGCATCGCATACTAGATTCTCCCATCTGCCCAGACTTGTGAGATGTGTGACTGATGCCCCAACTATTTTTCTGCCAACATCGTCCACGAATCCACTGGTGGACAAGTCAATGCTGTGCTCGAGTTCCAGCCCAATCGGCAATGAAACTACCTTCAGCATAATCTGCCACTTGTCCCTCTCCAAGCTGCCGATGATGAGTTGTGCTCCATGAGAGTAGGCCTGCACAAACATTTTCGTCGATGCATGATCTCCTGGTAACGCTCCTTCATGATTATGCATGCGCGCTCCAAGCGCACCATCCTGCACCAAAAAAGTTCTGCTCATTATTCTCTGCTCCAGAAAATGTGTCTTGTCCTCTTTGGCCAGGTCCATAGCTGATGCCACTAAGTGATGCTTCTTGACACAGTAAAACGCGTTGGTCGCGTCGTGATATCTTGTGATGCGTGGCATTCCAGCCCTTCATAATCTGTACGAGCCACAGAACTGCGTGATCATCGCATCTTCCCTTCTTCGATGTGCAATGCCTCCGTGCATCCAATGCTTGAACTTCGGGAATCTCTTTAAGCAGGACTTGAAAAAGGATCTGCCTAGCCCACAAAGCAGCATGCTGGGTCCTTCTCCATTCGCGCCCTTCTTGCCGCCGTTGCTTGGAAGCCGAAACATGCTTGCTTGATGACGCGCCACCGGCGTGCGAGCCTCTCTTCTGATCGTCCTCATCAGCCAACACAAAATCTTCTCAAAGGTGGGAGCGTGCCATGGTTGTTCTACTTGTGCCCCTAGCCCTCCATGTCTGTTGTGCCTGCACACCCACTGCGGATCAAAAAAATTCGGAGCACATCACCAGGCGCGCTCCAACATACCTTAGCTGCTTGATGTCGTGCAAAATGGACGTGTGCAACTCTTGTTGATCTCCCCGCTCCGCTGGATCTGATGCTGGGAATTCAATCGCCGTGTGCTTGAAGGTGGCTTCTACATGTTGATGTTCATTGTCGAACGGCCTCCGCCAGAATCCCACCACCTGCATGGGATGCGCTGCAAACTTCTGAATCGTAGCTGCCGCCCTTCCAAGCGCCCCCTTAAGATGCATACGCTCAATCCATTCTGCTGCCGTCGCTCGTGTCGTCGAGACCTGGCTGTACACTCTGCCCCTGGCCCCCCCGCACGCCCCTGCAACGAGCCGAGGAAACTTGTGTGCTTCATGAAACCGTCTGTGACGCCAGGCCTCTGACAACGCCTCAATCCTCAACTCATTGCGCTCATCTATCATTCGACGCTTCATGTTTTTAGACTACGGCTCAATCTGAACATAGCAATGTTGATATCCTCAGGCACCTCATACTCTTTCTGTTTGGCGTCTCTCCTCTGCAACAACAACTGAGATAACTTCCTGCTCTTGGCTACCTTGAGCTCGTCGCTTTCCTCGAACCCTGGAGTTGTTTTTAGAACCTTCGCCGTGCAATCTCCCACTATCTGTAAAAGTCCAGCACTGATGGAGCCCGCGTCACCTGCGTACTCCCAGCTCGGGATATCACCCATGTGCTCGTTGAGGCCTTGCTCAATGTCCTGCAATAGCTGCGTCCTCTTGTGGCCATGAAGAAGTGCCGCGTTGCATGCCTCCATGCTCGCTCTGGGTAACTGAAAAGGACGTGACCACTGAAAGGTGTGCCACAACGATACACATACTGGAAGATGGTCCTTGATCTTTTGGGATCGTATATGTTGAAGTCGCCGTCCTTTCATCAACGAAACATGACACTCTGCCACGTTACCCACAGCATTGCGCGGTAGAGCCACATAATCCAATCGTTTTTCGTACACTGTCTCTGATGCCGAAGTATGTCGGTCCTGCTCTGTGAAAGGTATTGGCCAGAACTAAATCATGAACTTGATGCACTGCTCGAAAACTTACGCAATTCGGGCCATCTGCTTCTGCCTCTTCCTCACCACATACGGATCGTAACCCTGTTTGCCTGCCACAGGTACTGTTGAGATCCATGCCTCGCACGGGAATGCACCTCACTGGGCGTTGATTCATGTGATGCTGAATCCAAGCTCCCATTGCCTGAAAAACTTCACGTTGTTTCTGAATGGCACCTCTTCCTGAGCCTCTGGGAGGAAAGTACAGGCTGAACAGCGCCATGTCCTGTCTCCCCCTTACGAACGCGAATCATCAATGCCCTCCCCTGCAATACTCCCTTGCCCTCATTCACCTGAACCACATACTCAGGAGGAAAACGCGCCTTGTGCAATCCGATGGCGACTCCACACGCCCGATTAGAATCTGGTCCATGCCCTGCGTGCCAAAAAATGTGCTTGTCCGTATGCAGAAACTGAACTGGATGCTGTCGCTGTGCTCGAAACTGTGTGCCCTGCAATAAATTGGCATCTGCACCCTTGTGTTATCCAGTTATATCTGATAATCTTGCCACTGCTGCTAAGGTAAGTGGGTTGTAGGAGACGAAGCGCAGCAATCTCCAGCCGCCGCTGCCCCCATGGCTCATCACCCTCACTGATGCATATGTGAAAAAAAGGTAGAGCTGGAGAGTGTGGGCTCCTCGGTCGCCTGAGGTGGGTCTGGGCCTTGGCGGCGACTCATGCGCAAATATACACATATATATATATATACTCAGCCCCCTCATCGGTGCCCGCTTGATTCTATCAAGTGATGGGCGCCCAATCACTCTCGCACTGCGTGTTTGGTTGAGAATGGCCTTAAGGCTCCAACTGCGTCTCTGCCCCCCCAGCTACAACAGCAACGGTTCCCGCCGGAGACTTCCTCACAATGAACTCAGGAGTTGCGTTCTGGACTGAGAATCCCTCCCTAGGAATCGCGCTCTCACCTGGGACTTCCGAGAAAGCTAGAATCATTAACTTGATCCAGGTGTTGGGTCCCTTTTGAAGAATTTGATGGCCCCAAGGCCCCCCTTGATCGATGGCTTCCAGCATGGCCGCAAGAGGCATCCCAGGGCTCACAGGGACTCCCAAGATGGCTCCAAGAGGGCCCCAGGAAGGCCCCCAAACCCCAAGATGCCTCCAAGAGGGCCTATGCTCCAAGATGGCCTCCAAGATGGCTCAGGATAAGTGGCGATGGTTTAAGATAGCTTCCGGCATACCTCTAAGAGACACGACGCAAGACACAAAAACTGTTCCAAGTGCTATCGGAGTCCCCCCAGCAACCCCCCAAGAAACCCAAATCCTAAACCTGATATTGCCACGAACCCCGACCTTCGAGGACAAGAGGATGCCTGTAGGGCGCATAATGCTGATTTCCGTGTTGTCCGTTTGTCGCTTTGCCGCCCTAAGGCGCTATAGGCTATGTTGGTTCCCGTGTTCTCCATTTGATGCTGTGCCACTTTGTCGGGGCGTCTCCGACCATCTTGGAGCCCTTTTGGGCAGTCTTCGGGCCCTGGAGCGTCTTCGACCATCTCGGGGCCCTCTTAGGCAGTCTTGGGACCCTCTTGAGGCCTCCGGGGGGCATGGATGCTTTTCGCCGAGGTTGGCTGTCGCTGGGCTTCTTTTCGCTGGGCTTCGCGATTTCGCCGGGCTTCGTTTCGCCGGGGTTGGCTTTCGCCAGGTTGGCTTTCGCCGGGGTTGGCTTTCGCCAGGTTGGCTTTCGCCGGGGGTTGGCTTTCGCCGAGGTTGGCTTTCGCTGGGTTGGCTTTCGCTGGGTGGGCTTTCGCTGGCGTTGGCTTTCGCTGGGGTTGGCTTCCGCCAGGGTTGGCTTTCGACGGGGTTGGCTTTCGCCGGGGCCGGGCGGGGAGCAGCCGCCGTCGCCGCTGGCGTGGCCGTCGCCGCCGCCGTCGT